CAAAAGGCAAGGAAAGAGTTCCAATGTATTTTTAGACCTGCACGTGTAGCCAAGCTCCGACTTTTATTACCACAGCATTGTTTTTAGTCCTCAAAGCCTTTTTCAGTCACACCAGTTCAGCGGTATGCTTGTGATTCAGCTAAACTACCACTGCCAATTTTTTTTTTTTCTGTAAGAAAAGAGTAAACATTGATTTGATGACTATGGCTCCCATCTGTTGGCTTAACAGTGAGCATTCCCCCCCTCTTTCTGTCCATGCTGTTTTCATTCGTCATCTCTCTCTCTTTCTCTCTCTTCCCTTGTTATTCCCAATCTGCTGCAGGCTGATAGTCTGCAAAGAGTACCCTGTCATTGTATTCCCCTCGCAGCCACACTTACCCTTGCAGAGCAGACACAAGCTCTCATCATTGATCTTTCTCTGTGTCTCTGAGAGGCAAAAAGTGATGCAGCATATCTTATAATCGTCAACATCCGAACGAGTCAGATGTTGAAGCCGGATTCGATGCAGATGCTGCTAAGTGGAGCCGAATGGAGTGGGTTATCGGTGCAAAGAGCAGGGGGCGAAACTGAACCTTTTAGCTGTGTCACGGGCCAGTGGAACTACACATCCACAATGGCACAGTGTTCGTATCTTAGATACTTGTCAGTTCGAGTTCACAAGCCAAATGACCCCGTTAGCTATGCCTGATATTTCTTGGCATGGATAAAACTAAGCCTACATTAAGGCATTGTTGAAAATAATTTCTCCTCATCGTCAAGACTGGAATAATTCAACATTCTTAACATGATACTTTTATAAATGTATAATACTAACCGCTCAATTCAATAGTGTCACAATAAAAGCTGTTCAGCAAGACGTGTTCTTGATCCTGTCTGGTTGCACCCTTAAGTGACACTCACAAACACATTTTCTGCCAATGTCAAGGTCTGGAAATTTATCTGTGGGTGGGACAGAGTTCCAGGGTGTTGGATCTATGCAAATATTTGCACTGCAAGATTAGGTGTGTTGACTCTGTGGCAGGTCCAGCCAACCCTGATGCAACATTGCAGCTGCTGCGGATAGCACTGGCATCTCAACCGTTCAGAATGTCCTCAAGTTATCTGTTTTTGTATGAAGGACTGACCTTCATTAGTGTGTTTCTCCCCTATTTCTTGAAAGTAAGGATATGGCCATAGGGCTTTTCTCTTTTTCTATTGTTTTTATCACCCTAGAGAATACAAGATGTTCAGGAGTTTGTTTTTCTGGTTCTTTCCATTTCTACATAAGTGTTTTCCAAACTTCATTTGATTTTTATTAAAGTCAAAAATTTGCATTAAAGTAGATAGTGGTGGTTGATTTGTTTATATATTGAAAATTGAGGGCGTTCTGAGCATCCATGCATTGAAGGGAAGATTCCTTAATGATTCAAAATGTTTGCTTTAACGCTTTTCCCAGCAAAAAGCCCGTCATTCCATTAATTTTGTCAAATGATTTTTGAATAATTATGTGGCACAAAAATGTGATGCTTTACTCATGGTCAAAATGTCCCTACGGAGACATTTGTTTCTATCTAACAGTCAGGAGTGGAGGTGAATGAAAGTAGGGAGACAGAGTGTGTGTGTGTGTGTGTGTGTGTGTGTGTGTGTGTGTGTGTGTGTGTGTGTGTGTGTGTGTGTGTGTGTGTGTGCTGCTTTACAGAAGGATTGTCTTGGTTATTCACTGGGTTTCAACAATAAATAGAGCTGGTTAAAGAAGCTAACAAGACTAGCGATCGCTCTTTACATTGACTCTAAAAATGCACCAATGAGGCATTTAACAGCCAATACCGACCAACACTTTTATTTCTTTTTTTATGGAAAAGAAAGAAATATGCAGTGCAAACAGAAGGAACAACCAACCAACCACAAATAAAAGCAGGTGAAGATAAGATTTGCATAGTATGCAACAGAACAACATACCACTTGTTTGCTGGAGGTGGATGTGTTGATGTTTTTCATAAAATCGATTTTGAACCCAGTTAAATTTTCATAGCGACCTGTGCCGTGTTAACCTCACCTCTGGCAAGTGCCAATAAATTCTAAGAATGACAAAAAATAAATTCATACACAAGACGTCCTCTGAATGTCTAACTGACTTTATCAAGTTGTGTCTGTTAATGCTGGGACAGATCCAACCTAGTAAGAGATAAAGCCTATTAGAGCAACCAATACATTTCAATTTTCTAATAAGGGATGACCAATCATAAATTTGTTACCACTTGAAACAGGAAATGCAAAAAAGGGAAAACATTCACAACACGTCTTTTATGTATTTTTCATATTATGTAAAATCACATCTTTTGAGCTTTGTATCAAGTTATAATGTTACACCATCATTAAAAACATGCCCAACGTGCTGCTTTAATTATTTCATGCTTGTTTGAGAAATCCTAGAATCTCCCATGGTAACTATGCAGGCGTGTCTCAGTGTTTGCTGCAACAAAGCATCGCCTAGTTTCACAAAGCTCATCCTTGGAGTTGCAATCTCCAGCAGAGCTTCCTCCTCACTGAGTGCCGGAAGGAGCAGGAGCTTCTTAAAGAGACAGAGGCCCAATTTCAAGCTGTCAAATTTTAAAGTCAACTTTCTTTAAAGTTAAGGTTGATTTATGTCGTATTTTTATCACCGAAGGTAAAATTGTTATTTGATTGTTCTATAAAATAACACTATGCGTCTGCAAAACACATAATACCTCTCGTTTAACAAAAAGAAAAAAACCTGTATTGCCTAATTAAATGGGCTTTTCAGAACACAATGGGTTTGAATTGAATTTGGAATGATTTGTTTTCAGTATAACTGGATATAAATCAAACCACTTTGTCTTGTAAAGTGCCCTGCAATTAAATTAGTTATAATTTTGTGCTATATGAGCAAATCAAATTGAAAATCATTGACTAAACAGTGTTTTTGAAGCAAACCAACATGAAAACGATCCCATATAATTTAAAGGAAAAAAAAAGATAAAAACATAAAATGCATCTAATGTCAAGTTAGTATTAGGAGTGCTATTGATTTTTTCCCCCCCTAAAGTTTATTAGACAAACATCTAACCCATTAGACAGTAAGAAGATCCCAGGTTATTAGTCGGAAGGAGAGCTCATGCAGATGATTGAAGCTACTACTGAAGGAGGTTCTCTGGGTTCTGCTTGTAGCTGTCTGGCTAGCAAGAGGCTGTATCAGCCCATGTTTCAAACAAACTTCATAGTACTTTATCAGTAACACAAGGCAGCACATAACTGTTAACGGGGGAAATGGAATAATTCTTCACAAAAACATGAACAGTCCAGTGTGCTTATTTAGCCCCCCTCACTCTGATTATGTTACTAAATAAAAGGTAGTGCAATCAATCAACAATCACAATATAAATAATCGGTTTCTCCTACAAAATTAAAGGAACAAACATCATGAAGAGGAAGGAATATAGCAAACAAGTCAGAGATTAAGTTGTGAGGGCGTTTTAAGGTACAAATAAATATTATTCCAAACACAAAAGACATTATGGAGCGCTGGCTAGTTGAGCATCTGAATACAGTTCTACCAAGTTATAAATGTCTACCAAGCTAATGGGCCCAGTGAGGACATATTTAATCAGAGAAAGAGCCAACGTGCCTTCGGTAACTGGAAGAGCTGCAGGACCAATTGATTAGTGCATCCCTAAAATCAACAGAGAAACATGGGGCAGCAACATCCTTTAGGGATGCTATTCTTTGGATAATTTAGTTGATCAGAACATCAATAGAAGTAATCCTGGGAGAAAATCGTTTTAAGGCAGAAAGCACTTACATAAATGCCCAAAACCTTGTAAAAGTTTGCACAATTTTCCCAAATGATGTCAAGCACGATTGACATTTACTATTTTGGCATTATTTAAATACAACATGCCTCAAACATGCTTTAAATATTTATCAACTCAAAAAATTTACCCTTTCTACGCAAGATGCAACAATATGAAACTCTTCTCATTGCAAAGACGTCCAAGTTATAAGATTACCTTCAGCAAAAACACTTAGTCATAATGTCTAAGATGATCTGTTCAATACACAAGCAAAACAAGAAAATGAAAATGGTATACATTATAATTGTATTCATTTTATTTATTCACCCACCCTCAGGACAGAGTTTCACCTCCATAAATACCCATAGCAATGCACCGTGTGCTCAAGGAGGAAATATTGGCCTAATTTATCAACAGGTCAACATACTGACCCACCTACAGAGGAGATACTTTTTTTAATATATGAATATAAGATTTTTTTTTAACTAACCAAACACTGATGCAATCATATTTCCCTCATTCGTCGCCTCATTGTAGTAAAAAGGCTGCTTTCCACAAACCAAGCACAATTTTATTCCCTGCTTAAAATAAATAAACACTCAAAGCACGTAGCAATTAATCAGAAATAGCATTCATGCTACACACCATTAATGTAGATTACATCATTAATTCCAAACGCATTACAGAGCGCAATCACATCTCAACTTCAGCAGACCGAGCTTGGCACGGGGGAGTATACAGAGGCATACAGCAGCAACAGCTCTCATGCAACCTACTTATCAGTGCATAATGTCTGGCAGTGGATCAGCAAATGTTGCACATCACCCTCACATGAATGAGACTGAGAAAAATTTGCTTTGTTGCTTTCGTCATTCAGTACAAATGTAATAAACAGTGTGTTGTTTCCAGCATGTTTAATGCTGAAAAGCAAAAAGCACAATAATTAGTTAATGGGGCCTCTGGAAAAAGAGTGAGTAAGATCAGATGGAAAGTAGAGCATTTTAGCCATAGAGGCAGGATGAAGATCTATGTTACATCCATATTATACATATGTTTTAATCAGATGATGAGTGACGCAGACTGGGTTCTATGGTAAGCCATAATAGAAAAAATTAATGTTGCAGAAGTGGAAAGGAGCCCGTTAGTCAATTGTTACCAGATGGCTTGAAGCCCTAACCAGGACTAAGGGGAAATAAAACAAGTTCTCACCAGTTCAGCATTAATATTTTTCAGCGGGAGAGGTTCATGTCTCAGCCTGGAAGACACAGGAAAAAAAAGGGACACTGTAAGATTCGTAGGGACTTTCACAAATCGCATTAGCCCATATCTGGTCAGGCTTACAATCGCAATAAGCAACGATAGATAGATGATGCATCCTGGTATTATGTCTTGCCAAAGAAAACACAAAGGGCAGACCTGACAGACTCAAAGTCTGTAATTTAACGTGTTTTTAACTCCAACACTGAGTATATCAGTTGGTGTGCCAGGCTGCTCGTCTGCTGGCCTTTTCCTCCAGCTGGCTGTCAGAGCTTCTACAGTCCAAGATCCTTTAGCAAGGTGTTAACACATCCATAAGGACGACTGGCAAATTTTTCAAGCTTCTGCTGAGAAAAAACTACTCTGATGATGCGCTACACTGGATTTGTGCCAGTGAGCAGCATGCCAAGATTTTCACACTTATTGTGGTCTGGAACCAATGTTTATACTGATACATGGGCGTACTTTTACAACATGATGAAAACAGAATCACAATTTACAGCTCTTACTGTGAAAGAAATGTCACATTTCCTGGCAAAGACCCAGTTTTGAAGCATAATCCATACATTTCCAAAAGGTTATTCTGGACCCAAGTTGGTACAAGTTTCCACCATCTAGCCGATTTAAATATATGCTAAACATTTTTTAAAAAAACTTCCATTTTTGTGAAACAAAAAATACTGGCATCAAAACAAACCATGGCATGATGTCACCATGTGAGCAGTTACCGTAGGTGCAAAACCCACATAGCTTGATTCCTCCACACGGTTTCTGCAATTGTTGCCAAACATCTTTTGTCTTATATGTATTAATATCTTGAAAACTTCCTGGCTGATTTGTTAGTTTTCTGGGTAGCTCACAGACTTTCAACAGCGTTGAAGTTAAACCTTATGGAAGATCATCCCCCAAGCTTCAGTTCAGCTGTCTGAACACATTTTAAAAAAGCCTGCTTCTATGCATTTTTAATAATCTTTTGTACTTCTTGGTTTTAAGTTTCAACCATAAGTATGGAAAGAAAAGATGATTAAGAAGTTCAAGCACAACCACTGAGGCTCAAATATGAAAATTCAAGTGTAAATCTCTGATATATCCTTTCACTCATTGTGGCATTTATCAAAAAGAAATAAGTTTGGTGATGACCTAAAACAAGAGTAGTTAGGTTTCCTTTAGCTTCAGATAGTAAGAAAAAATATATGTATTTTTATTCAGTGCATGTATTCTTTTGTTTTCAATATCTGAGATTTCATATTATAAATTTAACTCGGATGGTTAACCAAAAAAAACAACCAAATACTCAACTTTTGCATTATCTTTAAAGCCATATCTAAGATGCCATTCATGTGTATGGCAATATTTTGACTATTCATAACTATAATTTAGTTAAAATGCATTTTATTTATTTTTATTTTATTTCGACATATATATTCATATGCATACTTAAGACATTCACAAAATGCAAATTGGGAAGGCTCGATAAAGCCGCATAGAATAAATATTAAAATTAACCCGAGTTGTCAAAGGTGAGCCTGATTTGACTGAGCGCTCCAACTCATAAAAGAAGCAGTGCAATATATAAACGAGGAGAGGAAATGAGCAATAGAGCATCTCCTGTAAAGTAAACTGCCATAAAGTGGAATTCAATTTAAGTGCCACCAGTAGAAAAACTTCCTGGCGAGCAAATCAATAAAATGTTGGCAAGCTCACAATAAAGTAACCACTGAAAAAAATTATTTCTCATCTTTTACGGAACATATCCCTTAAAGGCATGTTATAGTACAAGCTCTAAAATACCTTTCAATATTTCTCAGTTGCCTTTTCATCAGTAAACCCTGCCTCTAAGTTGTACTGTTTAGCTTGTAGGCGACTCAAACAGTAAGTATTGCTAATATGATTGGCTCAGTGGAGACGGAAACGACCAAACTGCAATAATTGTTCAATCTGTACTGCTGTAAATTTGGTTAGATTGCATCACCGCCTACTTTGTTGCACTCCAATTTGATATATCTCTACCCTGATGTGCTGGAGATATTACTTTCTCTTTACTGTATAGATACAAGATGCATATTTGTAATCACATCAGTCAGATGGCAATTGACAAAAAAAAAACAAAAAAAAAAAAAAAACAACAAAACACAGGAAATATTTAAACTAACCAGATCATGCTGCAAGCAGAAAAAATTTAAATGAGCAAATCTAGAGAAGATCTAACGTGAGCAAGACTTTCAGCAGATAACAGGAAGGCCGAATGGAGAAAAGCAAAGTTGAGATGTCATCCTTTTGAGTTGTAAACCTCAGTCTTTGCAGCCATTTGGAAATCTCAGGAATAAAGTAAAAATAAACATTCTTCAAGGGAGAAATAAAGTCAGCTGTGCTAATAATGGTACTTGCTAGTATAAGAGGGTGAAGGCCAGTTTAAAAGGTCAAAGTTGTTACCATTTTAGCATTGTTTCACAATGTTAAAATCTTGTTTTTCCTGCAACTGCTCCGTCTCTCTTTTTCTCCCTCTCTCTCACACACAGACTGTGATGTCAGCTCTGCTTATGATATAAATAATTAATCAGTGCTCACATCAAGTGAAGCAAAGTAGTATATTCAAATCCAAAACGCATGGAACAAGATGTTCAGTGAATCCAAAACACTCTCAAAGGCATTATATACATTAGAGAAAAAAAAAAACAATTATGCTATCTGCTCTGAACAATAAAAGAATAGAATAAAAACACATGAATGCCCTCAGCTAGCTTTTAAGCTCCTTAGTCTACTTCTATTCATCAAAATGCCTCCCAGTCTGGCTTTAAGCCACAGGTAAGGGATTGGTATTGTGTGTGAGAGCGTAATGTTTGCCTCTGTAATCACCGGCGAAACATTCACGTGGCAAAGTCAATATCTCTGAGAACAATTTGTTTTCCTTCACATAATCATGCCAGACTTCCTCCAGGTAGAGGAGGACGCGCGCGCTTTTGGAGGCTGGCAAGTGGGAGACCGTTTTCAATTTTACAAATAATGGCCACTGACACGCTCTGCGCAACTTGATTAAAAGCCTGTTGCCGAAAACGACATTTACGACCCTCTGTAGTGCACCTGTGAGCTGAAGTTTACGAGCGGGGAATCGGGTCCCTCTGCAAATATGGCTTATGGCTCATAATATATAGGTGGACACAGCAAATTGGACACAACATGTGGAGAAGTCCTTTAGATGTCCTCTGCGATCGTTCATCAGTTAATTTTAGGCAGCTGCCAAGCCGGGTCAAAATGACGCAGTGTGCTCTATTTGCAGAGCAAATAGACAAATGGAGTTACCTGCTACGCATTTCTGGACAAATAGGACCTTACCTTCAGCTTGGATGGAGAGAGGAACTCTGTTTTCTCATTAACTGAAAATGAAAACAGCGATGACTATGGTTCTGGCATCAATAAATAAATTAATCTTCCCTGAACTAAACATGCTCCAAATAATAATATGAAACCAACTGAAGATAAAGCCTAATCATTTAATGAATGCAGAGAAAATAAAGAATAAAAGTTAGGGACATGTGGTCTGATGTGTACATGGAAAGAATCAAACCTACATCTGAACCAGAAAAGAGAAAATGGAATGTACAGAACATTTTTCTCTCGTATGTTTGTAGAGTTGTTAAAAAAAATAAAATAAAAAAAGATAAGGATCAAGTGGACAGACCTTAAAAAAGTCGGTGTAGTCCAAGGCCAAGAAAAAAAAAGATTTCTAGTTATCTGTACAATTAAAGTGAGTAAAGTCCTCTTTTTCTGTCGTCCTCCCTCAGGATAATAGAGGATGTGGTGGACAATAGTTTTAGTTTTTGTTCAGCTATGTGGAGTATAGAGAGTGCAGCGCTGCCTCTACACCACCTGTTCCTGTGTACTGACTAACACAGCAAGAGCAGAAAAAAGAAGGCTCCCACATTTTTGTCTCACTTAAAAAAAAATGTAATTTGGAAATATTTACCTTTGCAAAATCCATGTAAAGTCATGACTTGAAACCTAAAGGAGTGGCACTAGCCACTTTTAATGTGGTGTTATTTCGAAATTGCATCTGTCTAGAACCTCCATGTAACTGCAGTGATTAATGTTGTAGTACTTTTATAGATTTAGGAATAAGTGTTTTTTTCTGCTTCAAATGAAAATAGATGCCTTTTTGTTTAAAGTTTACATGTAAATGAGTATTTCACAGCTTACCACATAAGCCAATTGCTACATCTCAAAAATTAACCTGTTGTTCCTCAACCAATAGCTTGCTGGTTAAACTCAACCTGAAAATAGCCACGAACATGTGTTCAAATGAAAAGGAGCCTCTTCCTTGTAGTTGCAGCAGCAGCAGCAGCAGCCTGGGATGGATGCACAGCAGCTGCACAGTCCTGACTCATTAAGGAGTCTTGGGGCAATTTCTGCAGGATATATTATTATTTAATCACATTTCCAACGGCTCGACTGACAGTAAACACAGAGAGGAAGTAAAGTAGGAGCTTCGTGTGTGTGTATATGTCAGAAGTAACCCGGGCTCCGTGTGTCCATTAGTTGTCCCTGCCTGAGTGCGCTGTGCTTGTCGTCCCTCTGCTCTGTCCCGCTACAGCTAGCATCTCTGGCTAGCCTCCCAGGCGCTGGAAACATCAATAAACCCCCGCATTTCACTTCAGTTTCAACCCACAGCGGCTCTCCGTCATATTTACCTGGAAGAGGGACCAATTCCGCAGAGTGCGACCAGAGTAAACCCGAGACGTCCCCGCTAAATGTCCGTTTTAATGCGTCTTGCTAGCTAGCTGCGCGATGCTACGGTCTCCAGCGGTGAGTGTGACAGTTGGACGGACGGAGGCTGAGCCGCGTCTGAATGGGGGGGAGCGGGATGTGGAGGGAGCCTCGCGCGGCCGGTGTGATGGAGTTCAAGTGAAGGATACATCATCCGCCTCGGGTTTTAAATTCAACACTTTAACGCGGCAGACGACACCATAACTCTGAGTGTTATAACAGCCTCAAAAAAAAAAAAAAAAATTTCGGAAAAGCCTCGTTTGTTCCTTACGTGATTTCGGCGGCGGACGTTGGGCTGTAATCCGTCGGCGGACAGAGACGTTGCGTAGCAGAGTCCTGCTGGGGATTTCTCTTTCTCTCTCTTTTTTTCACTCTGTCTGCCAGTGTGTCCTCCAGCTGATGCTCTATCCCGTCTCCCCAGCCTGCCGGAGCGTCCCGGTGCTCTTGTAGCACTCGCCCTCCAGTGGAGAACGCTTTGATTAGGGGAGCCTCTTCTGATAGGCAGCGCGCTCCCCCCTCCCCGTCCTTCACCCACAACCGACACCGAAAGACTGAATGAGCGAGTCTCTGACAGGAGAGTGAGTCATCCAGCAGAACCACATCCAGCTCCTCCCTCTGTTTCTAACAGCTGACTACTGTAGCCTCCATACGCGGGTAAAAAAAAACAAAACAAACAGAGCCTCCCTCTCCTCCCTTTGTGAAGTCAGTCACACGCTACTCTGTGAAGCCACCAGTGGGACTGAATGCATGTAAATCTACCAGCTGTTCTCTTCAGCATCTTCAATCCCCTCTGCACTGCAACACTCCAAACTCATTCTGGGGAAACCTAAGGTGTTCCTAACCATAAAGGATGTGTCACAGCACATGTTTTGCTCTCAGTGGGGTTATGAAATAGGACTATGTCCAATTGTTTAACATCACCCTGATAGTTCAGTGTGTTAATCTTGCTGATAGAGATTTATCCAAATCCTATATTTTGGAGGAATATTTGGAGAATTGGCTGTGCATGTAAATATTCTTCTTCCAACTTCTTTGTTTTCATTTATTATCTACTGCGGGCCATCTCGCCCAGTGCCCCACATCAACGTGAGAACATGTTTACCTGTAGGTGAGGTGTAAATAAAAGGCCATTCTGAGACAAAGTTTTCGGAATTTGAATTTTCTCTCATTTGCAGATTAAAGAGAACTCGCAACTTGTGGTCCCAAGAAAATAAAACCAAAATAAAACCCAGCTGTATGTTGCCATTAGTCTATCCCAAAAAAGTTGAGCCGATTAAATAATCCACGAGATTGATGACATTCGGGGTAAAGATGACTGCATGTAAACTTCTGGCCTGACCTGTCACTATACTGTAACACAGAATCTCTGTCTACAACAAAAGCAATCTTCACTCTGAGCCCCAGGACATTTTTAGAGCTTCTCATTTGCTTAAATAAGAAACTTGAGCGGTATTCACTAATTTGTTACTGTTTAAAATCTAAAGTGATATTGAAAAAAAAAAACAACAACAACAAACGTATGTTGAGCTGTAAATATACTAATGAAGTCTATATATTAAGTAACATTGTTCCATATTATTTAGTAGTCCTGTATTGTCAGACATACTGTGAGTTTTATGGTTCGAGTTTTATCCAACTCACATTAAATTCACATGCGGGTGGTTTGGGCAAAGATTGCATTTGGGGACCAAAGACTGGACCACTCACATTTGTATGTGTGTGTGTGTGGGGGTGTGTGTGTGTGTGTGTGTGTGTGTGTTTGTTTAGTGTACCTGCCCAGTAGCACTCTGCAGTCCTCTCCTCTTCTGCTGCCCCGGTGTGCCTCATTAAAGCTCGGTTACAGGACACCTCATCCTCTTCATCCCCGCAACAGATGGACAGACACGGGGCGACAATATTCCACGGAGTTCCGTGGAGGGGCGTCACCGTTTATATAACTCGGAGAATCTTATTAAAAAGCCTCTCTCCTTCCGTCCTGAACTCGAGGTTAATTAGCTCACTTCCTCGATGCCGGCGTTTGCACAGAGGTCTCTGACTGGACACAGCAGTTGCTACGGGCGACCGGGCTCGCCCTTATCTCCTGTTGCCCGTCGGGATTCGAATGAGGAGCTGCGGCTGAGAAGGAGATAGTGTTTATGAAGTGTGGAAAACGGCAGCAGCATGCAGGGATAGACACAGCCGAGGACTCGCCCGCTCACGAGTGTGCAGGACATGAGCTGCAGGTGCAGACAGACCTACTGGGAGACTTCCCCCACCTAAAAATGAAGATAACGGGGTTTAACTCTACCTTGGTATTCATCTAAAGATTGCGGGGTTCCACAAATAAGTGTTTAAGAAATGTACTGCTTCTCTGGTACTTAGTCCTCCTCTGATTATATGTAAGACCTTGTTACCTTGGAGTTATTAGAAAAGTAGGTTGTTAAGACTGTCCCCTGCTCTTCATTGCCCTTGAATGTGACACATATGTATCATAGACATGGAGACTCTATACACACAGAGTCCATTTGCCTCAGACTGGGTTACTGCCAAACTCTTCATAACTGGGTTGCTTACTGATTCATGAATGCCCTGCTTTCTTTAAATGTGGCCCAACTATTTCATCATTTCCAACACATGCTCTAATGTGTTGGAGACATGGTCCAAACAGAAATACCTCATCTTTGCCATGCTGCAAAGACTGAGGGAGTACATTTTATGTGCAACAACATTTTAAAGGCTTGGTTCTGGATAAGGTTGTAAGCAGTAGTATCTTATCTTTCCTGGGGTAGACACTGGCATCTTTGTTTTGTTTAAACCCACATTAGTAGTTTTACTTATGGCTTCTCAGAAGTGGATGTCACTCATTTTAAAACAACTTCAGTCTTAAAGAAACATCATAGCGAACAATGGAAATGCTATTTTGGAAAATGTACAACTTTGCCAGGTTTGCATTGGATATGCACACAGAATTTGTTGGTCATTTACACAGGAAAAGTAGTTACGAGATCATGCAAAACCAATGATCATTCTGAGAGAAATTTGGCTCCTGATCAGAGAATAAGACAATTTCCAGTCAAATATATAAAATACATATTTGGTTTCAAAACTATGTATATATATTTTTACATTTTACACCACTTTACTTTTAGTTACTCTAAACAGTAAATACATTATGTCCTGGGTACTTGTTTCAGGCAGGTAAATAATTGCAATATCTCCAGCCTCCATTTCCTGTGTCAATAAACCTCGATGTCTGTGTAAATAAAAAGCCAATCCAAAAGTGATGATTGTTTCAAAGTTTAGAAAACTGCATTCTCTTAAACTGTTATATTTTAGGTGTTGGAGTTGTTTTAGGATGGTGCAACTTCGCCCTGCTCTGCACTGTCTAATCTGGATTTGTCCTAAATAAAGATGCCAAGAGAGTCATCTACTGCAGATAAGATTAACCGCTTCTAATTTCTTTTTAACAGGACCTCACGTCAAAAACGCAGATCCATCCCTTTAAAGCACACAAAATGAAAACTCTAGAACTGTTTCTCATTTGAAATCAGAATGTAAATTTATGTATGCAACTGAAGATCAAATTGCATACATAAAACACACAGCTTTAACATAAAAAAAAACTGAATTGACAAACTCAAGAAGACGCACAGCTCCACTCCAGCAAAGTCCGATAAAAGCCACATTTATTTTAATTACAAGCAACTTCCCTTTACACTATATATATATTGTTTTCTTAATTCCATGTTTATCCTTAAAGTCATACACATTTACATTTTCCGAGTGCATACATTTAAGTTAATATGGGCCCTGTCAGAAAAAAAAAAAGAAAAAAAAAAGTGGTTCAAAGGCATAAAAGAAAAATGTCTCTCCTTTCTTTAGAGACACTGGTCAAATACTGCTCATCACAAGCATCATCAGTAGTGGTACTTTACTAAAAAGTGCACACGGTCTATTCAGCACAGCTTCATATGGTATATTAAAATGTCAATTTAAACAGCGATGCATGTCATACATTCAACATCAAACATGACAACCCCATTCAAAGGCACAGGACTCTCACACCAACCATCTTTTAAAAACTGGATTAAATGTTCGATATTTCCTCACTAGCAGTTCATTTCATTTTCAGCTGGGAAAAAAAACATAAAATCACTTAATATCACATGACACACTTGAGAGCTGAATGGCACTGGGCTGGTGGGAAGTCAAAAGGTACTTCCCCATGTGTACTGAATGCACATACTTTACATGTGAAATAGAAGGAGTCTTTCTAAGTGACGTTCTGGCAAATAATTGGGACCTATTCTTATTTTAACTGCATTTGGCAATTCTTTTTTTTTACTTAATTTCCTTTTTCATTAGTATAGGTCCATATTACAAGCTCTCAAAGGCTGAAGCTAATGTCTGACTCAACAGGAGCAAAAACAAAAAAAACAACAACTAGATTTTGTACCATCTTAAAATAACACCAATCTCAAAACTGTTTTTTTCTTCAAAGATTATGATAAGAAAAAAAAAATTGTCTGGAAAAAAGTTGTTTTCAAGTCGTTATGAAGTGATCCCCTGGACATAAACCGAGGCATGGTTGAGAAAGGATGTCTCCTGGCAGATGGCTCCAAATTTAGTAGAAGCTGACAAATATTTTCAAGACAAATGGAAATATTTGGTAGTGCGACACTAGTGATCTTCCTGTGTGAAACACGTCAAGAATAGGAAGCGTAATGTGTTTCAGATCAGAGTAGCCGCCAAACAGAAAAGGTTGTGTAAAAAAAAAAAAAATCAATAAAAAATGCTTACTAAAGCCACAAAAATATATTTTCCAGTTTCTCTGACTAGAAACAACTTAAATATTCAGTTCTTGATCTGTGTTTCACACAGGACAATTTTAGCGGCGCACAGTAACCTTCCTCTGCCTGTTTGCTATGCGATTAGTCGCTGGCTGCTATCTATAAACTCTTCTATTGCAAACCTTATGACATTTTAGAGGTTCAGAAAATAGCAATTGCACAAACTGCTACAAGTGTTTGAGATTAGAGTTATTTCAAGACAGTAAAAGTCTGCTTTTACTGGAAAGTCTGCAACATGGAATTTGGTGGGAATCAGGGAGAGAGTCATGCTCATGTGATCCACACGGCTTTGCTTGGAGTTCCCAGGCCAATAATGCAGCACCATTACATAATTAGTTAAATGTTCTGATTTTATTGAATTCAAAAACTGTCATACATTATCGCCAAGATTCTATGTCGTTTCCTACATTGCATGTAAAATTTTAGAAAAGGAAAATTTAATTTATCGGCAGGCGTTGCGTTACTGACTGTTATTACGTTGTTGATTGCTACATTGTCTGTTGGAACAAAATGAAGCCATTTCCCTACTGTTTCCTTATATTATAAAACCCCTCAAACTGGGTGAAGATTAAGAACGGAGGCATTTTCTCTACGTTTTGAGTAAATACAGCCACAGCACCAAATTATAGGAAGGCCAGTTGTTTAGGGTAAAACTGGATCTTCCTGTGATAATTTTTCCTTGGTTTAACAACTTTAACTGAAGGGTGGAAATGTAAAGAAAACAATAAGCTATCTGTTTACTTGAAACTGCAGCCATTGGATCTTAGACAAAGTCCCGTTTCCACAGTGTTAATGAAGCCACAGCTATTTTGCAAGTTCAATCAAAACGTACCAGGAAACAAAAAAGTTGATTTACTTAAATAAACATCTGTGCGACACCGCTTCCTAACATTTACAGTTGTTCAAATGCATGCACACACTGTACGACATCCTTTCCCTTCTCATCCTGGTGCGACAGAGTTGGCAGTAAACGATGTAAAACGTATTAAAAACTGGCCAAGACATAAAAAGAATAAGAAATGACTGCATCGTATTAAGCAGAAGTTTACATCACACAAATAATAGCTAAAAATGCTGAGTAAAAAAACAACAACAACAAGAAAACATAAATCTTAGCAGCAACACAAATGCTTAGTTCTGTGAGAACAAAACAGCAAACCAGAACCCCGCCAGTGCTTCTGGGTTAAAGTAGAGTTACGTAGTTTTAAAGAGTTATGTAGTTTTATACAGGGAGATGTCAGTGCAAACATGAAGGGATGAAATTCAACCTTCTAAAGATAGAAACTTTAAAGGCTATGTAAAGTTTTTTTCTTTGTTTTTTTTTTTACAGTGCAAGTCGACTCAACTGAAAATCCACCATAAGACGAAGCAGATCTTGGCACACTAAGCCTCTCTGACTGTCACAGCATCATGATAACATAAATGATAACAAAAAGGAAACTACTCTGTCTGTGCAGTAGTTCAAGTAAGTTATTTCCTGCAAATAATTAGTGTCCAGTAACACGTCCTGTGGCCGTACCGAAAGAGAGAACAACATACAGGGTTAACATACAAATACACAAAAAGAGATATTTACATGAAACAGTTTTCTAGACAGGACTTCACGTTAAGCTGAGAGGACCTCTCTACTCACCCATTTAGGCTTAGTTTTGATCTAATCCTCCCATTGGTTACATGTTGGACCAAAGCTGGGGCAGTCTCATCCTAAGTCTGTGGTCACAACGTCAACGGCCAAACAATGTCCCGGTATGAAGCAAGACGCCAGATCCCTAAAGGGCGGTGTCGAAAGCGTGTTCTGACGAGCCCTCCTCCATGTCGTCCTCGGACTGTGATGCCTTGTGGTTGAGCCGCTCCGTCGTTGAGGAGGAAACGAGGTTTCCAGGGAGGCTGTCGTCGCAAAGCTTGGTCTTACTGCTGTCCTGAACAAACTCCTGGATCTCCACGGGCAGTCTGCGAAACTTGTCCTGGTACTCCTGGTCCAGATCACTCTGCAGCTGCAGAAGAAGAAAATGTCCATCAGGTAAGAATTTGTACAAGAACAGCATATCTGTTTGGTGAGACAATGAAACCCTTTTTCATCCGTCTGAAGTTATTGCCAACGTCACAGCTACAGAACTTTGCTACAGTATTCACACTCCTTAATCTTTTCCTAATGTGATCACAGATTTTTGGGGATTTTGCAGAGATTGTATCCCAAAAGAGCCGCAGAGCACAGTGATTGAAGGTATGTTCAAGTCATGACTGGAAGTCGTAACCCTCCATCCTTCTCGAAAAGACAATCGAATGATGCTGACCTGTGTTACCAATACCCCATTCTGCTACACACTCCTTCCTCTCTCAGAGTAATAGAAAGAAGATGTTTTCTCCGAGGCATAGACGCCCCAAATGATTACAGATGACAAGATTGTATTCATTTCATTGGGAGCCAATAATTGCCGTAATGCTGATTTCTGTTTAACTACCCAGCAAGCTCCCAGGGGAGGGCAGTAATTAAAAAAAAAAAAAAAAAAACGCTTCTAAAGTGAATGGTGTCAGCGTCTCCCAGTTCACACCAGCATTCAGAGGAATCAAAAATATCTGTGGAGTTTTACTGAATCCTTGGACTAAACTCTGAGTGTAAACAGAGTTTAAAACAATCTCAAAGATCCAGACATAAACATAAAACTCTTGACGGAGAAACAATTATCACATGTAATCACAAAATGCTTAGTGAAATCCTTTTTCACATTTTAAAATCTGCATGTTTCAGGTGCTTCGCTGTCGCCACACACACCAATTACATAAATGAACGATCAACGGGCGTCAGTATCATAATATCTTTTCTGAACTTTTTTTACAAATACGTGAAGGACTGCCAACAAAAAAAAAATCCTTTTCATCCAATAGACTGGTGTATAGGTGGCGTAAAGTTCATCCACACACACCAAATTGGATTTAATAGGAATGTTTGATTATTTTCCTTTAATGACTCAGTATGCTAAAGCAAGATGGGTATTTTAAAAGTGAAATAATGACAGCAGAAACTGGCTCTCTGCCCTCAACTGTCAGCTGTCTCTCAAGCCATCTGACCTCATCGCCCCTCGCCGCAGGTGATGAGCTCACGTACTTTTGCAGCCAAGTGCAAAGCTGCAAGGGTGACAGCCAGCTTTTCTAATTTTGAGGCCAAAGATCTTTTGTTCTGGGTTTAGATCAAATGTAAAACTTGGGCTCTGTCTGATAATATGGGTGATGCTAGCTTAAATATATGGCTTGTAAAATCAGTTTGTTCATGTGGCTGTTCACAGCATGATTCCTGATGGAGCAGGAGAGACTGTTTCCCTTTAAAATTCTCACATAAGAGCTGATTGGATGTTAAAAAAGGATACTTGATTTATTGGTCTGCCTGCTTTTGCACGTTCACTTTTAGTCTTTGGTTATGGATCTTGACACACAGAATAAGATCCCAGATACAAGTGGATTCGCTATATTCTACAGCGAGGCTCACCCTTACAGATCACAAGAAAATGATCTGAGGAGCGTCTCCTGATATTTTGAGTTTTTATGGCATGCCCCATTAGGAGTTTAAGTTATGTACAGTCAAACAAGAACATTCACTAAAAATCAAAGGAGAATAGTGTGAGGATGTTTCTCTGGTTTTTGAAGCACCTTAGTTGAGGACAAATTATTTTTCCTCAGCACACCAGAACATGTACTGTGACATTTTGGTCAGGGATCGCTTATTATTGTCCCAACATAACTGGGCAGAAGTGCATAAGCATGAATGAATGAGTTTGATGTGGGCTTGACCTCGCAAACTGCCAGACAGGCCTTTTCATCCAACACTAGTGTCTGGCCTCGCAAATGCTCTTGTGGGAAAATGGTGCAAAATTCCTTTGAACTCAATCTACTTTCAACATTGTGGAAAAGCACATCTTTAAGCACCGCAGCGGGGGCAAAAATGTAGCAGGACGGTTGGGCCCAGATCATCTTAAACCTTGTGAATTAATAATGGGGAAAATGTCACTCCAGTTTATGTGAGTGAAGGCAGACAGAAAAGAACTTTTGGCAATATGCAGTATTTCCATCATTTTAGTTGGAAGATCAAATGGTGCAACGAAGCATAAATACTGCTGTGCATTGCCTGTCTGAAATTCTATTAAACACAAATGGTAATTAGTAGTAATGGCTAAATTTTCCATTTTGCTGGCAGAGAGTCAAATTATAGTGAAATTTCCTCACCTTGCATAAAAAAGTGATGCTCTAACAGCATTTCTTAAAGCTCCACTGGGCATTTTCACATTATTCCCTCTGTTTATGCACTAATCTGTCTGAGAAAAAACACCCCACAAAACCCTGATACAACATTTTAAAGCATAGGCAGTGAAATGTAATCAGGCAGATGATTCAAACATTAAAGCAGCTCTTGACCGATGTCTCCCTGATATTTTGGAGTGCCTGCTCAAACCCCCACCGAGCACTGCACTTCAAGGTCACCTTCTCCATTTCCTCCTCCTTCCATGCTTCTTTAACTCCCTCTTTCTGTCTTTGTCACTCTCTCTGTGGGTCTCACGGACCGGACATGCATCATGTCAAAACCAGATGGGCTAATCGCACATTGCAGAGGCACACGGCTTCCCTGCTCTGCAATGTGCGTGACCTACTTGAGCGAGGGACTGTGAGCACGCACACAACCTGGAGTCTTTTACCTTTTTTTCTGATGAGGCACAAACAGCTTCTGATTAAAAGCAGTCACCTTCCTCCCAGCTGATTCCACCCTGCCTTATTATGAGGTGACGGAAAGGAGAGGCTAGAGAATATCTCTTAAAAAGCCAGTTCGCGTCTTCTGCGTGTAATCAACAACTTGGAGGGTGGGGGCGGGGGAGACTGAGCGTCTTCTGTTGGAGTTCGGGTGCTGAGTGATGAAGACAGCACTTTTCTTTTTCCAAAGCAACAGCTTGAGTTAAAAATAGTCTCACTGAATGACACGGAGACGGCTGGAGCAGGAAACACGCAACAAGAGCAACAATATTTAGAGTTTTCTCATGAGACGCCTGAGCTTTCTAAACTGAAGTCTTCCCAGTTTGGTGCTAGTATAGATGAGCAAAAAGACAAGGTGAGCTTATGAAGCACAATCCTTGATACTGTTTTGAAAGATTTGGCTGTTTAAAAACTGCAAACAATTTACAACATCAGAAATTGTTGTTTTATTTAAATTATGTATATTGAAAATATACAAAATATAGAGGCTAGCACAAGCTTTCATACTACTTAACTTTGTCCACCACCTCTTTTATTTTAATAATTTTTTTGAGTCGCCAACACCAAAAATTGGCAGGAAGAAAGCCCTAAGAAATCCCATTTTCAATGTGCCACTCATGTGGAACATGTGGAAGAAATAAGATGATTTTAAACATAGCAAACAGAGCAGGAGTCACAACAGCAGTCGTATCCATTTAAAGCATTTAATTGTTTGTTTGCAATCAGAATTCAAAAGGCTGAAAGTACTTTCAACTAACAATGGGTTAATCATCAGCTTCATCAGTTCAAGCTGGTTAAAGCTTTTGTTTATTTAATGTGTTGTTCATCTTTTGCTGTTTTGTCTTCTTTTTTTTGTGTTAGTAGTTCTAAAGGTGTCACTTTTGAAAGGTCCAAAGAGGAACAAGAGCTCCAAAATATAGGCCGATGTAGGGAAAAAGAAATGAAATGAGAAGATGCCGGTGACATACGACTGATGCCACCGACATGAAACCTGCTGGATGACGTGTCTTGATGTTAAAATGGTTTTTTTTTTCCAGCACGGAGAGGGAAGCTGGTCAAAGATGATGGAAAGTTGGAAGGTGCTAAACACAGGCCAAAACTGTGGGAAACAAAAGTTTGAGGAAGCAAATACCCTGAGGTCAAGTCATTACTTTCATGCTGAAGATTCTAGTTCAGCAGTACAACTGTAACGTTTGAAGGAGTAGGGAGTATTTGAGCAGGGATAAAACATAAAACTATGCTGCATGTAAAAGAAACCCGTGCCCCATATGCAGGCTTTATAGTGAAGGACTAATTTGCAGAACCAGCCTCTGATTAGGCTTTTATAAGTTAGCCTTTAAAAATAAAGGACTATCAGCAGTATGAGACTTCAATGAGGTTGTGCTCCTCTGTTTTGTCTTATTTTATTTCTCAATCTAATCAAGACAAAGTCCTAGTCAAAGGAAAATTGTATCGATGGGAAGAGTGAATTGTAGGCAGTAAAATAAAGATGATTCTTCTATTTTTATAATTGCAGGGAATTAATCATTACAAATATCAAAAATGAATGACAATGAACAATGATTGTAATAACTGGGAAACAAGGGTATTCTTGAAGTAAGTCTGTGATTTAAATGAATATTCATTTAGAAATGCTTAAAATGTATTAATCAGTAAGATAGGGACAGGATGTGACTCATGTGGTCAAAAAGAAGAAGTTAACTGAGTCAGACGTGAATGAGGGAGAAGGTAAAGACTGGTTGTGTTAAGTTATATGCAGTTCATTTGGAAGAAGTTCAGCTCATTTCAGGGATAATGTATGTGAGAGCAACAGGAAGGCAACGGTGAGATCTTGCAATGATGTGCAGAACAGTTCCAGTGTGATGCAAAGGTGGGCAAAAAGGCAGAAGGTTGTAAAACCACAAAAGGAGAAGAAGCTAACAACGGCTGATCTAAAAGCAGAAACAAGGTTCCAGTAAAACAGGTGCATGGTTTAAGGTCAAAATGATTTGTGAAGGGGTTAAAGACTGTCTCTGCCTCGGATTAAATTGAATACATCAAAAGTGAAGCGAGCCACGGTTTTAGGAAAAAATACTTAAAGTAAGTCTGGACTCTTTGAATGGAGAGCCGGTTTGGACTGTGCAGTGACGTCAGCTCACGGCCGTGATGGAGTTTGCTCCAACACATAAAGTATTGAAATGTGACACGATGTGAACACTCATATGATAGCTTCAAATATACGATAATAAAAAAGAATAATTTTAGAATATTTAGGAGT